TCTCCCCTTCCTTCGCAACCCAACTCTCCCCCATGTCCCTCCAACTCGCCCCCCTGGTCCAGCTCACCACCGGCCTCGTCCACCCCTCCTTCCCCTCCACCCTCCTCAACTTCTGGCTCTTGACCGAAGCTCAACTCGACGAGATCGCCCACTTTTACCACCAGCGCACACCCTCCGTCTACACCTCCCAGTACCCCTGCCCCGTCTACTGGCCCTCCGAGGGCATGACCATCGAAGACAAGAGGCGGAAGCTCGGACGGTTCATCGGCCTCCGCGGGTGTGACAGTCCCGTCGTGAACGGGCAGGTGCAAGAGATGATGGGGTGGAGCGAGGAGCGGATCAGGGAGGAGATTAGGAGGCGGATGGACGGAGAAAGAGAGGGGGAGGAGGCTAGGGGGAAGATGGGTGGTTGGAGGAGGTTTTGAAAATACAATCTGGTACAAGACAAAGGAAGGAATGGTGGGTATGGAGGAGTAGAGACCGCAATGGCTTGAAGCGAGCGAGTACAGTGATGATTTGTTTTCGTTCTTGGATTTGGCTTTTTGGGATGTACACCTAATAATATTCTTGTTTGATATCATGCCTTGCTGTAATCATCAACTTGACGCGAGATGAGAGGATGAAGTGTGAACATGAACTGCGACATGAAATAATACTCGGTGCGGTTTATCCTGCCATTACTTCTGCCACAGAGCGCTGAGTCAACCAAGAATCCAATCAGGACTGAGATATATGAACCGACCCAATGAATTGCATGTTCCAACCCGTAACGCCATGCAAAAAGATGCTTGCCGTCAACTGAACCTAACCCAGGTAGGTAACCTGAACCCCCAGCCACGACCCCCTTTACTGTACAGTGGTGTCAAAAATCTCAAGATGAACTGGTCTCTTGTCAAGAAAAAAAGGAAAGAAAAACACCCGGGCCATTCCCCTTGTCCAAACCACACCTGCTCACGACTACCTCCTCGCCTTGCCCCTCTTGGGTTGGCCAGCTTCCTATTTCTTGCCTTTCCTCTTTCTGGGGCCCCCTTGCGGGGTCGAGGGTCCGTCTACGAGCACAGGCTCATCAGCACTGCTAGTGCTGGGTCTGGTGTTGGACTTTTCCGACTCGGTGTCCAGCTCCTTCATGAACTCGGTCTGAATGGTGGCACGGCGCTTCTCCCACCATTCCTTCTCCTTGTCGGCTTGGACCTCGATCTCGTCGAGTCTGTCGCGGAGGACCTTGTTGGCGGCAATTTCGTTGGCGGACTGGAAGATGATTTGGCCCCATCCTGGTACAAGAGCATTGGCCTGGTCATGTCAATCAGCGAGTGTTCCAAACAAAATGGCAGGCTGGGTCTGAAGCATACCTCCATCACCACATCACGAAGCTCGTCCTCCATCTCCTTCTCGGCGCGCTGGAACCTTTGCCACAAGTCATCGCCCACACTTCCGCGCTGCAGGAGAGAGCTGCAGGCCGCTTTCGCTGTTCTAATTTGAATGATGCGGTTGATATCCTCCACGGCGCGGCGCAAAAGCGCAGCTCTGATGACGCTGTCTGGGATCTTAGGTGCCTTCTCTGAGCCCTCCTCAGGTTCCATGTGCAGAAGAGAGAGGTAGATGTTGCGTTGGAGATGCGGGCCGAACCATGGCGCAAGGTTGGCGCTTTGGACTGGAGAAGACACAGTTAGCAGTCGATTGGGATGTATGCGCAGCAGAACAGGACCAACGTACGAGCTTTCCTCCTCCGGTAGACTGTTGAGAATGTGACAAATGTGCCAGCCAAGACGGCCAGGTAGGCCAGCGGGAGCAGGAGGCCCCGCCAATTGATGTCGAACATGGTTCCTAGGGTGCGATATCGACGATGGTGTTTCGGCGGATTGGCAAGTGAGTGCGGTGGTGTGTTGGCGGTTGTCGCTACCGATGCAATCGATTGACGGCGCACAAAAGAGGATCTCGGGAAAAGACCAAAAGATTCTACCGTGGCCTGGTGTGCGACAATTTTTCTTCTGGGTTTTGTGCAGCTCGGGTGGCTGTAGAGGTTTAAGGTACAGTGAGCCGAAAGAACAGCTTGACAAACTCCACGTCAACGTGAATTTCGGGGTGCCCGCGTCCCGCATCGGCTGGGGTTAGGTGGCTTCTCAGCCTGCCAAGCGTTTCTCCCGGCAGGCAAAGACCATCTCTGTTTTAAAACTGCCGCTTCCGTAATCAGCAATATGTGGGGTAGAGGGGCAACCTTGCTGGACCTTGTCGGCCTTCAACTCCCAGGCACGAGTGAATGACGAAGGCCTGAAAGCTGCGACAGCGCCACGGGAGGACCATCAGAGAAAGAGCTTCCCCTCCATCCGAGCTTTCACCAAACCCCAGTTTAGGATTCTAGTTTTTACACTACAATATTTTAAACTATTCAAGCTTCTCATAAAGCTTATTCCTCTTCATATTCACACGGAGGTCTGCGTGGATCCGTGAAGCGACCCCCACTCCAACTGCTCTTCACTGGTTTGCTTCCCAAAGCTGCCATCAACTTGATCTACCCACATCAACTCTTCCCACCGTCCCAAGCAGACAGCAAACAATCCCGATGCTTCTCCGGTTGCGAACGCCTGATGGCATGATCCGCCTGACGGTGGAAAAGAGCAACACCTTCAAACAGCTCGCTGAGCAGCTGTTACCTCAGCTCCCCTCGACAGTCGACCCTCAAACCATCCGGCTCTCCCCCCAGCCCAGCGGTGGCGAGTCGAAGCTCCTCTCTGAGATTGCAAAGTACAAGTTGGAACAGATAGGTTTAAAGTAAGGCAGCTTGGCGTATTCCGACTAGTAGGCTTACTGACATCTCCGGAACAGCCATGGAGACCTTGTGTTTGTCAGTTACAAGCAACAGGATGCTGTTGCAGATGGCAACGCAAACGGCGATGCGTCCGCTCCAACCCTTCTCGCAAAGACAGCGCGTCTCAACGGAAAGCCGATTCTCCCTACAGAGGACCATCCCATCGACCCACCACCATCCATCGACACCGAGGTGAAACACATCAAGAACCCCTGGGAGGTTGTGAAGCAGTCCCCTCTTGACGATAGACTGGACAAGAAGGATGGCAAGATTCCACGAGGGAAGGATGCCAAAATGTGCCGTCACGGACCCAAGGGGATGTGCGACTACTGCACACCGTTGGACCCCTTCAACCAAACATATCTCGACGAAAAGAAGATCAAGTACATGTCGGTACACGCTTACATGCGCAAGACGAACTCGGCGACAAACAAGCCCGAGCTGGGGAGCTCGTTTATTCCTCCTCTTGTCGAGCCGTACTACAGAGTCAAGCGCGACTGCCCATCAGGACATCCACAGTGGCCGGAAGGCATCTGCACCAAATGCCAACCCAGTGCCATCATTCTTCAGCCTCAAACTTTCCGCATGGTGGATCACGTCGAGTTCGCTTCTCCGGGCATCATCGACAAGTTTCTTGACGCTTGGCGCCGGACAGGGGCACAACGGTTAGGCATCCTCTATGGTCGGTATATGGAGTATGAGGTTGTGCCATTGGGAATCAAAGCGGTAGTTGAGGCCATCTATGAGCCTCCACAGATCGATGAAGTTGATGGTGTCTCGCTCAATGCTTGGGAAAATGAGCAAGAGATCAACCAGATCGCCAAGTTCTGCGGTCTTGAGCAGGTTGGTGTAATATGGACTGATCTTTTGGACGCCGGCAAGGGCGATGGCAGTGCCGTATGCAAACGACACGCAGACTCATACTTCCTCGCCTCTCAGGAGGTTTGCTTTGCTGCTCGGATGCAGGCTCAGCACCCCAAGCCATCCAAGTGGAGTGATGCAGGACGCTTTGGCTCCAACTTTGTCACTTGTGTCGTCTCTGGTAACGAGCAGGGTGAGATTTCCATTTCAGCTTACCAGATGTCAAACGATGCGGTAGAAATGGTGAGGGCAGATATCATTGAGCCTTCAGCCGACCCAACACAAATGCTGGTGCGGGAGGAAGAGGAAGACGATGGGTCTGTTAGCAGGACACGCTACATCCCCGAGGTGTTTTACCGCAGGATCAACGAATACGGCGTCAACGTTCAAGAGAACGCAAAGCCAGCATTCCCGGTCGAATATCTTTTCGTCACGCTTACCCACGGTTTCCCCGAGTCACCCAAGCCACTGTTTACCGACGAGGGCTTCCCGATCGAGAACAGAGAATATGTTGGCGAGGCGCAACAACCTTCTGCTGTCGCCAAGGCTCTCAGGGTGAACCAAAAAGGCGACAACAGGCTGCCTGTCTCGGACTTCCACCTTCTCTGCTACATTCACCAAATGAGCGTCCTATCCAAGGTAACATTTGCCCGGCAAAGAGGTAGGATCAGTGGCTAACAACGTAGCAGGACGAGGAGGCTTTACTCTGCAAAGTTGCTACCCATCAGGACTTGGCCGAAGCGTTCCAGTTGCGGGAGACGCCAGGGTTCCAAACCCTTAAGATGATCCTTGAATCCACTGGTGAGAGACTCCCCAAACGCTCCCGATACTCTGACGACATTGCCAGTTCTCCCGCTGCATCTGCGTCTGGTCGCAAGTCTAAGAGGGACGACACCGGAGAACCACTTGCTAAGCGTTTTGCTGCTGTCAGGCTGAACGATACCCAACAATGAGTTTGCTCCTCATGGCCCGACAGGAGAGAGGAAAGGCAATGCTTTTGGTCTGGGATACCGCGGACGAAAGCAGGGCTGTGTGGCTCCTAGAACCATGTCTCTCACATCATTCAACTCGAACGTGGTGGGAGGGATGATCAGGGTGGAATACCGAGCGGTCAAGGAGTTTGGTTTGCGGTGGTTTAACTTGACCCTCCACGGTATGGGGATAAATAATATAACCATAAATAGGCCGAATCAAGCACATTGATGACACGGGTTTTTGTTCATGAGTCAAACATTGGGCATCTTCAATGGATAGATATCCGAGACCAAAAATCAAGCAAAGTCCAAACGCCCCCCAAACAGCAGACATGTAAAAGCAGGTAACATCCAACCGAAAAAAAAGGCCCTTTTTTACCACTATCAGATTTTCAAGAATCATACTCGGACCCTGTCACCACCTCGGCTTCTTTCCCACTTTTCTCCTCTTCGGGGGTTGCTGTTGGTTCAGAAGCCACCGACGAGGATGGCTTCTTCTGACCAAAATGATGAGAAGCAGGGTGAACCATCTCCCGGAACCCGACGCCCCGGCCCTTCATCCACCTGTGCAGCGGCTTCCAGTCGACGCAGACGTTGGGCTGGGGGACCTTGACGCTGGGCTTGAGGGTGGAGTGATCGGTCCAGTGGAGGGTGTAGACGTTTGTGTCGGCGGTGCAGAGGACGAGCTGGCGGAGGGACTCGAGGCAGTGGTCGACGTGGGAGGTGAGGTCGGACCAGGTTTCGTTTCCGGGGGTCGTGGAGATGTCTGGGTAGTAGTAGGTTGGGTGGAGGTATTGTTTTATTCTTTTCTGGAAGAAGGGTCAGTTTGGCGCGGGAATAGGTGTGGGAGGGGGGAGGGGGTGGTGGTAAGGGGTGACATACCAGGCAGTGTAGCGAGTGGCTCACTCCCAGACCGCCTACGTACCCGCCTCCCTCTCGACTGATGGAGACTGCGTTGCCGGCCTTTTTGAGCTCGTCCTCGCTGAAGTAGATGAGGGTTCCGTCTAGGAGGTCGTGCCAGGCTTTGTCGAGTTCGGGGCGGGGTTCGCCGAGGAATTTGGAGGTGTCGGGGTCGGTGTTCATGAATTTGTTTGTGTAGGTTACTGGGGCGGGTGCTATTTTCACTATTAATTATCATGATTGAGGGGGGGGGGGGGGTATGAGGGGAGTACATACAAAAGGGGATTTTGACCTCGGGGTTGTCGCCTGTGGTTGGTAGTATTGGACATGTTGATGAGTAGCTCTTTGGATAGGAGGTGTAATGGTATGTGAAGGCGGCGGTTAAGGAGAGAATTACGGTCACGCTTGAGACAAGGAGAGTGTAGAAGCGTCTTTTCCAGATGAGAGACTCATCGACGTATGGAGGCGGTGGCGGGGTGAGAGACTCTCCATCGTGATCTCTTTGGTGGTTGGATGGTAGTTGTGAGAGCAGAGGTGTGTAGTGAGGCTTTTCGTCCAGACTGGACATCATCTTAAAGAGACTCGATATGTTTCTATGTGGGCTTTAGAAGATAACAGAGAACCACTCAAGGACAGCATTCGTGTTGGCATTCTGCGGACTTGCGTTGGTTTTGGAAAGATCGAGATCACGCCGATCATCTTTTCCCCTCTCCCCATCCCCTCACAACATACATCATCCCGCAGAGGTCAGGAATATGGAGACGGAAGGCTAAACACACCCCGCTCTCCAAGCCAGCCGGACCTTTTGACGTTGGACGCGCTATCCCGTACGATGCGGGCTAGAAGTGCCGGGTGGTACGTTTATTTACTTCGGCATGTAGGGCTTACTCTTGGACTTCTAGACTTTTGACCCTTTGGAATGACAGGGGAGAGGTTCGGCCTGGCATGGGATATGAGGATGATGAGATGGAAGGAAGTTTGTGTTCCCATGAACAATTTAAGTTGATATTTTCATTATGAGGAGAACCCCTTCCCTATAGTACCGCGTTCCTGGGCTTGGAGTTATTTTTGGTTCATGTTGTTCATCATGAACTTCCCAACCTCGAGAGTTGATGGAAAGATGCTTCCAAAAACACTCCGATTTATGAGGTCCAGCCTTCATGTAAAGAAACGTCGCATTTACAACCTAACTTACCTTTCCGAGCCGCAAGCAACTGTTCAGCAGAACAGGGTAGCTATGTGGCTGACTCCTGTGCCGACGGTTCGCATTGTTTGGCTATGGGGTTGAGAAGTCCTACACTAGGTCTGATCGAATACGGGGTCATGGTCCGTGATTCCACGTTGCCATGTCCCATCGTGTCGACCGTTTCATTGACCCAGGCTCAGAGGGCTGGGAAAAGCGGTTCTTTGACGCAAGAGGAGATAGATTAACGGAGTATGGAAGCCCGGGTCGGTTTCTTTTCTCGAATCGGTATGCTTTGCAGTTCAATTACGTTTCCCTCTTTCTTGGGATTCTGGACTCTTTTCTTGGGTCAATAATCTTCATCGGATTTTTGCTTGTGTAAGTGGTGTGTACAAGCTTGGCTTTCCCCAGAGAAAGCCTACCAAAAGCATGGTGTAACAGGTCCCAAGAGTAAGCACTCTAAAAACACCACACCCTGAATACCGATCCAAGACCGCTGGTCCGGTGCGGATACAAGGACTGCCGCTCTTGGGTAGTTTTCGTGGCTGGCTCCTACAGAAAGCACGGTTCGGCGAGCGCTCCTTGATGCCTATTTCACTCTACCTGCGGTCTTGTTGGCAGCCCACCTACCGAACCGAACCTCCGGCTTGCCGTGAGCCATTGGAACGCTTCCAGTGCAGAATCAGAAAGTGAGCGATATCCGACTGCTACACTGGTGAAAGCGTGCTAGCCTCGGCAGTTTCGACTCCCTCAGAAGAAACCGTTGGATACTACCAGCCACATCCGTAAAGTCTAGGCACCTTAAGTCCTAGAGTGATTGTCTCGATCGAAGCCGAGATGTCTACTCTTGGTACGCTTTCGAGCTGATCAGTCGTCATGGATCCCAGAAAGGAGGACTTGAGGGGGTCTCAATCAATCTTGTGTATTGTGGGCATAATAAGTAGAAGTCGAGTCCAGTTTTCGAATCTGGAATTGCCTTCTTACTCCGGTCCCTCAATCAACCATCGCAGAGTCACGCCCAGTCCCACAAAATGAAGTTCACTGTTCTCCTCTTTGCTCTTTCAGCAATGATCGTGTCGTCTTTGGCGGCCCCAGTTCCCCAAGGGAAAATTTCTTACATTGGCCTTGATGTGCCAGATGATGCGGTTGAGCAATGTACGTTTTCTTGGCCCCCTTGTCTACTGCTCAAGATTCTGCCACCAGACCTAACAAGAGGAATCATAGGCAAGATACCCAATGGGCCAGGGGGCCCTGAGTCACGTCACAAGAGAGATGGCACAATGGAATTCGACGTTGACCTCTGCATACTCAAAAAGAGGGCAGCTCGAGAGAGCTAAAGAAGAGCCAAACACAATGGTGAAATGTCACAGAGAAGGGGCGGGGGGGTGTTGAGTCGCGGGTGGCGCCGTGAAAACGGTGTTGTAGTACACTCCAGATGTACGTCGACACCCACATGCCGGTGGAGGAGGCCGTGGTAGAGGAGGCAGGCTCAGCCAGTCCGAACACTGTAGTATTGAGCCATATTAGTGCGATGTCGTAATCCAGATACCTCATTTTCTCACACGTACGACACAAATCACTTTATCTCTGAACGTTCAACCCTCAAGACCACCGCTATATGATCGGCAATTTATGCAGGTGACAAGCAACTGTAGTGTCAGTTCAACAAGAATAGATCTTTCCCTCCCGTTTGTTCTTGAACGACCATCGACATTCGGTACCGAGACGGCTGGAAAGCCTACGGGACACTTCTCGATTACCCGAGCCTATAGGAGGTCCAAACAGGCGAGATCTGCAATAAAAGAAGCTGCGGGCACTTTAGTTGCTTCGAGGAAACCCTTCACACCTTCTGTGCCGCGCCTTGGCTCGGTGAAGCATAGCTATCTTGTTCACTCTTGGGTTGATCAACCACATTCTGCAACACAACGTCAGCATACGACATATGAACCGATGCTTGAAATCCCATCAGGTCACGGTCTCGGCCCCACTACCAGTCACATCAACTCTGGGGGAGACACTCTCCCAGAGACCAGGGTAGAGGGGTCACCAAGACTTCCAAGACGAAACGTTGTATATCTTTAAAATACTTGATGTATTCAATCGAAACCAACCGGCGTCTCCGAGAGGGGTTTGTGCATGCTTGAGCAGATGTCGCGTGACAGCTTTCCAAATGCAGAGTTCCCGGATGATGACCCGGCAGTTGTGGTTGAAGCAATGAGTTATCAAGATAGCCAGGCTAGTAAGCAAGCTGTGGATTTCATGGCTGCCTCTAACTTGTGACAGAAGTCTCGAAGAAACTCAAGGATTCAAGGGCCTTTTCCATGTAGTTGACAGCCCCAATCAATGTAGTTCGACTTTTGTGCCGGTTTGATCAAAGTGAAATTGAGATGTCAACCTCCTAGATACTTCCATTCGCAGTGTTAGACCCCGTCATTACAGATAGTCAACTTATCTCAGTGTGAAAGGCATCTAACCCCCCCCCCCCCCCTTCCATGATTTTAGTTACCAAGCTTCTCCGATAGCGAGTTGATGTAGCGGCACCTCTCAAACAGTTTCTCCCTCTTCAGCTGTCTCTTCCTCTCCTTGCAAGACCTGACCTTCATCTCCCCAACCTGAATGTTGCCCCCATCGATAGGCATCTGCTTTAGATTTCCATCTCTCTGTTCCTTGTGAGCGGTCAGGCGAGTATTTCCTGTTCCCCAAGGCCCACCAATGACCAAAAGGCTCACGCTTTCAGGTCCATGGACAGGAAATGCCTCTGGCCATCGACCAAGCGTTTCTTCTACCTGCTGCTCGGGCTCGGCCGGTGATGGCTTGCCAGTGTATGCAAAGTTGATGAAGCTGCCAATAAACGCCCTCGACAACTTTTGGTCCTCATCTGTGATCTTCCCTTCGGGAAAGAGATTGAAGAGATAGTTCAAGTCGCTCCCATGCGTGGCACCAATGTACGGCATGCCTGCGCCAGCAAACATTGGTGCCAACATGGTCTGGTTGAGTGAGTACAGATGAACCCCAGGGTATTCCGGGTCCAACCGCTTGCTTTCCTTGAGCATGTCGCTACCAAAGTCGATGCTGGAACAAGTGAACTGCAGGTCCCTCAGGATCCGGGCGACTCGGAAGTAATTCACTCCAACCGTAGGATCAGACTCAGCCTTGCGGGCCTCATAGTCGGAAACCTCCTCCGCAAAGTCAGCTTCTGGGTAGAGTGAGAACAGCTTCTTATAGTCTTCATCGGTCAAGGCATGCGCCACTCCTTGGATGGTGGCTTTCATGTCATCCTCGGTCTGATAGGTAGGCGCGGGAGCGGTACTCAAGGCGCCGTCATCCTGAGCCCAACCATACACCAATGGAATTCCTTCAGTTCTTGTTAGCTGGTTTTCCACTCTAAATCAAGTAAAGCACACACCCTTAACAAAGTTCCCAGATTTGTATAATGTAGTCTGACGATCCGGGATCAAATCATCGTCAACAGAAGGAATGAATGTGAACAGTCCGAGAGGAGGATGATTGGCGGACGCATACTCCGCGGCCTTCTCCGTCAACTTCTCCAATGGAACTCCTCTTAAACACTGCAGTAACTCCGAATCATCGGTGCTGGCGCAACCCAGAGTCTTTGCCACTTCTCGAGTGTGCAATTCAGTGACATCACTTGTCATGTTGAGTCCCGTGCCGGGAGGACCAGACATGCACCAAGCTTGGGTGAACGGGACGCCTCTTTCTCCCCCATAGGAGGTCAGAAGAAGCGAAGTGAATGTGCCTCCAGCGCTGAGTCCAAAAGAGGTAATCTTGTCGGGATCGCCTCCAAATGCTGCAATGTTGTCCTTGACCCATTGGAAACCAGCCAGCTGATCTCGCATGCCCACGTTCATAGACTTTTGGTCTTTGAGAATGGGCAGACGAGCAAAGCCAAAGATGAGAATGCGGTAGTTGAGAGCCACATAGATGACGGGCTTCTTGAGAGATGTAGCCAGCGTAAGCAAGTTTTCGGGATTGTAGTGAGGGTCGTATGCAGACCCCTTGACTACGCCGCCGCCATGAAGATGTACCACGACAGGTAGCTTGTCGTCTGCTGTTGTGCCAGCTGGTCTGGAAATGCGAAGGCTGAGGCAGTCCTCACTGATGTCCGGTGTATCCGCAAAGAAGGGGGGGACACCTGCTCTGTTCTGAGGGCAAGCCGGCCCCGGCGCTGAAGCGTCCATCTCGCTGCCTTCAGGGGGCACGTATGGCTGAGGGGGTGCAAACCGACGATGACCAGAGGTATCGTGAGCATACTTGATGTTCTGAAAATGCTCGATGGATCCCGATGTGGTGCCTCTGTAGGTGATCTTGTTCTTGGCAATGGCCACAATAGGCTCAGCAATAGCAGAAGCCGCAGTCAAGGCCAACAAGGCCGTTTGTAATCTGGTTAGTAGAGTCATGGCGTGAGTGAGAGGAGCTGAATCGTGTGCGGGAGGGGCCACAATGGTTCCGGCCAAGAGATGGTAAAAAAAGAACAAAGACGGCCTCTGTGAAGTAGTTGATTTGGGACTTCAAAAGAAGGCTGGTGTGTGGGGGGTTGAGATGTTGAGAATATGAGTGTGGTGCTACATAGGATACCTACCAGACATGAAGCAAATGGTTGAGGTGCGCATGAATAGGTAGGTAGGCCATCGGCAATCACGGCTTGCAGGAACCCTTCTGGCCCTGATGTGGTGTGATATCGGTACTGGCTCGTGAACGACGATCAAAAAACAGTGGAAAACATGTTGAGGATGCCGAAGGTGAAGCTGGGATGGTTGTCCAAAGGCAAGGTACTGTGCAGGAAGCATGCAGGGGAGCGGGGGCGGAGAAGGACCAAAGCTTCGAAGAATGTTCGACACGAACTGCTATCACGTCCGAGGGTTGCACCTTCCACCAGGTAGGGTCGCCTCATGCGCACCTCCCTGATCTGCAGGCTGCATTTTGCCAGCCAAAGAGGAAGGGACGATGCCGTCTTAATTATCCCAGCCGCCCCATTGCAACCCATTCCCCTCCATGACCCAACACCATCACCATCCCGCCTCACCTGGGTAGTTCCCCGAATGGAGACAGCTATTGACCGCGGCGACCTCAGATCTTTACTTGAACGACATCTCAAGACCCCCCAAGCCCGAGGCTAGCTATCACTCCCACCCTACCGGGGCAATGATACAGACTTGTCTTTCAGCTGGCTCTGTGATGTAGTATCTTGAGTATGCCGGTAGTCATATGAGGGACTCGAGAGCTCTGTTTCGAGGGGCTGGAATTATCATAGTCGGTGTCGATGATGCATTTATCTATCCGGCCATCTCACCCGTTATTTCCATCTAAATCTACTCAGCATCATCTCTTACCACCTTCCTGAACAGCTCGATCATAACAGCCTCAATTTGAGTTTCCATCATGAATGAGGCTCAATATGACAACCCTGCAGCCCTTGTGGCCGGCACAGTGATCATGCAGCTGGTGACCACCGCCTGCATAGGACTGAGATTCTACTCCAGAAGATGGAAACGTCAAAGAATCATCACCAGCGACTGGCTTGTCCTCGCCGCTTATGTCTTTGGCACAGGCTTGAGTGTCATGATGCTCTATGGCATCTCCCAAAAAGCCATAGGATATCCCCTCGGTGGAACAATCGAAGACCCGGCTGCGGTCAACAATAGACTCAACAAGGCCAAACATGTAAGTATTTCCTCATCAAGTCCATTTGCGAGCATGAACAACACACCAACACCACACAGATGGAGCTATCATGTCTCCTCCTCGGCATCGTCGCCCTCGGCTTGATCAAGCTCTCCATCGCCTTCCTCTACTGGCACCTTTTCGCAAAAGTTATGTTCCGCCGGTTTCTCATATTCTGGATGGTTATCCTGGTCCTCTGGATCCTCGGCTTCGTACTAGCCGGCCTCCTGGAATGCGGTACACACCTCACTGCCATCTTTGGTACTCCACAAGACTATATCGACCACTGCGGCGCTGCTATCCCTGCTGGATATGGCATGATCGGATCAGACATCCTGACTGACGTTATCACCATGTTGATTCCAATTCCTGTCATTCTGAAACTGCAGATGAACAAACGGACGAGAATACTCACTCTGCTGGTCTTCTCCATTGGTGTACTGTAAGCTTGGATCTGTTGTACTTGGCCGAAGAAGGGAACAGCATGCTGACCTAGCCTGACAACCTCCAGATGCGTCGTAGCTTCGGTCCTCAAAGCCTGGATTTACATCACCGGCTCTCTCGGTCGATGGTCAATGGATGCCATCTGTAAGCTCCGGATTTGTCGAACCTTCCTTCTAAGAACCATTTTTTACTGACACCGCTGTGTTTAAGCCGCCCTCAGTGGTATCGCCATCTGGAATCTCGTCGAGGTCCAAGTCGGCATCGTTGCCGCCTGCGGTCCTCCCCTGCGTGCGATCATGTCACGCCTTCTGCCGATTGAAGCAGCAACTATCTCCCTCCTGTCTCTTCTGGGCGTCTCGAGGCTTTCGTCAAGCAAATCGGATACTCTTCCGAGCTTTGTCAGGAGACCTTCGAAGATTGACCCTGAGGACAATCAGGGCAGTCCCATCAAGGGAACTTCGACGAGGAGCACAAATACTGCTGTTGACCATGACGAGAACGATTTAGGCCCTTGGGATCAGCCTGTGCCTGTTGTTCGTGTGGCCTCGAAAGGGAGAGGTGGTGATGTTTGATAGGTTTCTTGCCAGGTGATGATTTGTCTTGACTGGTGTGACGTTATGTTTGTATGAGTGTTGATGATTTATACCCTTGGATATGTTCATTGGATGAACTGTTTCTGAAGTAGAATACCCGCGGTTTTCTTGATTTTTTGTACTATGCGAAAAGGGTAAAATGACGCTACTTTTGATAGTACATTTCTCATATCTTGCGTGATTCCATATATGGCGGTTGATCCTACAAGTATCTTACACATCTACCGCATGATAGCCTGCCTGTCAAACTTCATACACTCACTGATCGCCTCCTGATCCCCCTTGACCACAATATCGTACACCCCCATCTCCTTGGACACCTCCCCAACCCACTTGTTCAAATCCTCCGGCACGACCTGCCTCACCTTGGCTTTCCTATAAACAATCTGCTCAAACACAGCATGATTCTCCTCAACCAGCTCCTCAGGCGTCATCTCCTCTCCCGGATGCCCTTGCTTGATCAGGTCTTTCCGATAACCGTGCTTAAAGTTCTCGATAATGCGGGCCCCCTCCGTCAGACGGAGCGTGTTCCTCTTCGTCTTGACCTGCAAGGAGCCAATACCTGACATCAGCTCGACAAGAAGAGCGTCTGTAGGATGGAAGCCGAAAATGCGCCTCATTGCCCGACAAGCAACGATGGCGCCAACCCAGTCCTTGGCTTTGAACATGCTGAACAGGATCGTCCTAGGCAACTGGCCAAAGAGCTCCGGGGTGTCGAATTCCCACCTGGTCTCCACCATATCCTTGAAAAATTTCCTCGCGCTGGCGACGTCGTGCTCAGTAAAGGTGGGAATGCGCTTAATAAGCCGGTTGACAGACAACGAGTTGAACATAGTCAGGAACGTGTGCCCATCTGGCTGGACACCAATCTCATCTGCCAACCTGCTGTACAAGTTCAGCGCCTTTTTGGTTTCATTCGCCTGGGAGTACGAGCGGATGAGCTGGTTCATGAGGAAGGTTGTTGGCATAATCTCTGCTTGGTCGAGCACCCTGAACAGCTCCTCCAGACGTTCGTGAAGCCTGCGAGAGCAGTAGTTTTCCGCGAGCAGAGAGAAAGTTTCCGCCGTTGCCCTTGTCAGGCACTTGGGCTCGACTTCGTTTTTTAGTTCTTGTTTCTCGTTTATGGCATTAGGTTTGGGATTGTAGAGTGTGATGTTGTCGTTCGCGATAGACTCTCGCTTTCGCAGTTCGACAAAGTCCAGGCGGGCTTGGATCATCTGCCATGCCACTTTGTCGGCCTTTTCCAGGTTCTCAGCGGCCCCTGACCTCATCCACGCGGCGATGAGACCATTGAGTTGGACAGGCGCTGTGATGATGCCCTTTTGCTGCAGGTAGGTTACCACTTTGTAAGCGCCGTCGAGGTCGCCCGCTCCTATAAGTCTCTTGAGCCACTTCCCGGTGAAGAAGTGGTTGCCAACCACCATTGGTAAGCGGTCCCTTCCCCGAATATCGATCGCCTCGGAGAACATCATGTCGACAAAAGCCTGAAGGCCTTGTTCGACCGCGCCGACAGTCAGGAACGAGCCAATGATTTCATCGTAGTCCTCTATCGTCATGCTGCCTCCAAGAAGCGTGCGCATATCCTGGTAACGTTCCCATGCTTCACCGAGCATTGACTCTTTGGCTGCCAGTGCTCGTACTATGGGGATGATAATTCGAGGACTTGGTGGATGTGACGACCGGAGGAGCGTATCTGCTGCCTGCTGCGCTCGTTCAACATCTCCGTGGAGCGCGCACATCCGTACTCCGAGCTCATAGTAAGGCGTGAAAGTCTCCTTGTTTGACCCAATCGTGATGACAGCCTTTTTCCATGCATCGATAGCCTCGGTTTCCCACCCCTCAATGAACATGGCTTCAATGGCCAAGAGCTGTTGCGAGTCGCTCAAGGGTACTTTGGCAGCCTGCATATCCTTTGCCAGCACGTAAGTATGTTGCATGCGGTTGGGATTGTCACAGCTGTCAAAGGACAGGACCATAAACAGAAAGTCCCAGACCTCCCGCGGAACCTTGGCCCAGTCTAGGGCAAGTGTCTTCCGCGCTGATGAATAGAACTTCCAACACTCGGCAAGGTCCTTGTGTGAAGGCACGCCCTTTTCCAACACCTTTTCCCGTGCGAGAAAGATGTTGAGGTCTTCCACCACCCTGTATCTTGGACCGGAAAATCCTTTAATACGAAGCACTCCATATGTCTCACCCTCGGGTCCAACTTTGCCCTTGTACTGTGCTCGAATTGTTGTCTTGAACTGTTTCCTGAGCTGGGCAGCCTTTTCCTTCTTTCCCTCCTTTTCCATCGTGTTGATTAACTTTAACGTGTCCAGCATTCGCCTTTCAAGATCTTCGATAGAAGTGAGGACTTCATGGTCAAGCCCGGTGCTGTCCTCACTAAACTCTTCATTGGTCTGTAAAGACTTGCGCTCGCTAGTCTTGATGTTTTCTGAGAAGTACTTGATATCGAGGTTCGACTGTGCTGCGGACCCATTGAACAAGTCCTCGGCCAACATTCGCTGGATCTCGGCGGGATCAGGGTCCTTGTCTTTTAGTTCGGTTGCCGGTTTTCTCGTTCGGGATCGAAGGCTTCTGGCCGTTGAGGCCTGTCTTGCTAGCCATTGCGGGGGTTGGTTGGTCACTGGGCGCAAGTGGGCGAGACACGATTTGCAAACATAGTTGCTCGTTCGACCAAGATCGAGGGAAAGAGTTCTAGGAGGCATCGGGAAGGCGTGGCTACTTGAGAGGAACAAACAAGAAAAAAGTCTCTGGAAAGAAAAAGAATGGATTGCCTGCTTCATCCCATCAATTCGCACCGGCTCACACAGCTCCGTCACTTTTTTGGCCCCACTTTTGATCCCCGGACTGCGCCAAAATCTCTTATCGGCTCCCCAATCCCTGTCGATAAGCTCTCGGCACCTCTGACCGCCCGGCAGAAACAACCTGGACCCTCCAAAATTTTGGGAGCTTTGCGACTGGCGCATCCAAACCAATCCCCCAGGCTTTGGCCAACCGCCAATTCCTCACGCATCACCACCAGCCAAAAATGGCAGACTCAAAACCTCAATTCGTCCGCCTAACAGGCCACCGCGCCTTCACCCAGCGCCTCGTCCTCGCCACCCTGTCTGGCAAACCCATCCACATCACCAAAATCCGATCCACCTCCCCAACCAACCCCGGCCTCGCCCCCCACGAAGTCTCCTTCCTCCGCCTCCTTGAAGCCGTCACCAACGGCTCCGTAATCGATGTCTCCTACAGCGGCACAACCCTCGCCTACCAACCCGGCCTCATCACCGGCAGCGTTCCCGGCGCGGGCACATTCCTCTCAAACGACCTAATAGAACACACCATCCCCGCCAACAACACCCGTGGCATCACTTACTTCCTCCTCCCGCTCGCCTTACTAGCCCCGTTCTCAAAAGCCCATATGAATGTCCGTTTCTCTGGGCCGGGTGTCATCACTTCGTCTACCAACGCCCCAGGGGATCTCTCAATCGATACCTTCCGAACCGCCATCCTGCCATTGTACGGTCTATTCGGCATCCCCCCCGCGCGTATCGAGCTCCGAGTCCTCTCCCGTTCCTGCCCAGGGCCAGGAGGGAAGGGAGGCGGCGGTGTAGTCGAGCTTCGCTTCGCCAGCCAAGTCCGTCTTCCCAAAACCCTTCACCTGAATCGCAAACCGGGGAGGATCAGGAGGATCAGAGGAGTGGCGTACTGCACGGGTGTGTCGGCGTCGCACAACAATCGCATGATCACTTCTGCTAGAGGAGTTCTCAACCAGCTGGTGAGCGATGTTCACGTGGCGGCGCAGTATGATCCTGCGCCGTTGGTGCAGGAGAAGGGGAGCACGATGAAGAAGAAGATTGGTATTGGTTTTGGCTTGTCCCTCGTGGCGGAATCGAGCGCGGAGGGGGTTATCTATGCGGCGGACGTGGTTGCCCCTCCGGAGGGTGGTGTTGTACCCGAGGATGTCGGCACGAGATGCGCGTATCAACTGCTTGAGGTGATCGCGCAGGGAGGGTGTGTCAGTGCTGCTGCTGCGCCGACGGTATTGACGCTGATGGCTATGGGGTCAGAGGACGTGGGCAGAGTGAGATTAGGGAGGGATGTACTTGGAAGGGAAGAGACAATCGGCCTGGCAAGAGATCTGAAAGCGTTTGGCGCGGCCAGCTGGGGCATAAGAGGTGCTGATAAAGACGAAGACGAAGCCACAGGGGAACTGATCGTTTCCGTCAAGGGTACAGGTGTGGGCAATATCGGCAGGAAGGTAGCGTGATCTAGAGATGTCAATATGATACCAAAGTTCAAGTCATTCCAGAGGCGTACAAAAATAGACATGATTCTTTTCGTCAAGATGATTCAAAAATCCGCTCGCTTTTTTATTGCATTAGTTAGACATCTATTATGTTGGCAATGTTGTCGCCGTTCCCGGCTGCCGCAACCTAACCAGCCTGCTCCTCCTCTCAGCCGCCAAAGCTGCAAGAGTAGCGTTATAACCAAAACTTCGCAACGAGTACGCTGCCGTATTCTGTACCCCACTTCCCACCGTCCTGACGGCATTCACAACGTGGAAATTCCCCAGCACCGCGTTGCCAGACCGCATGATATCTATCATGTCCACCGTTGTCGTCACAGAGGCATACGGCCCCGATCCCATCCTTTCTCGTTCGTCATTATCATTGTCATTATCTCCTTCCCTCCCAGATTGGTTGAGCGGCCGCAGTTCGATCCCTTCGTTATCCACCATAAATGTCTGGTCGCTTAGCACCCCTCTCTCTTCCGCGTCGTGGTCCTGCGCTATTGCCGGGGGGACGTCTAGTTGCGCCTCGTCGCCGGGGATGATAGTTCTCAGCGAGGGGAAGACTGCCTTTTTGAGGCGCTCGCGGTCTTGGTGGACGGCGAGCATGAGGCATTGTATGAGGAATATTGTGATGTCAATGGAGAGGAAGGTCAGTCGGGTTTTGGGCGGCTGCTGGCCGATGAAGTCGATTAGGACACCGCCCTGGAGGTATCCTCGCGTTGCTTCGCCTGCGACGGGGAGGGAGAGGACGAGGTGGAAGAGTATGCAAAAAAAAGCTGGGAGGAAGATGGCGAAGAGATGTGGACGCTGAGCAGGCAGGAGGAGGCCTTCTTTTGGGGAGAGGAAGGCGAGGTGGGGAAGGCCGCGGATTATGAGTCGGGAGAGGGAGCATCTGAGAAGGGTCATATGTCAGTTGGAGCGGGCATGGGAGTAGAGGGGATGTATTCGTACTCCATGTAGTATAGTGTGCACATATACGACCAGACCAGCATGTCGAGACTCCTCTGAAGGTGCGTCACGAACTCGAGCTTCTTGGCCAAGCCCACCCGTTGCTTATTCTTGACCTCAGAATCGCTGGACTGGCCATCGTTCCTACTGCTGGCCTCTGTCGTGGACCCTTCGGAGTGATCTGGGTCTGTGGTGTGGGTGTTGGGTCGGGCCGTGGAGCTCGAGCCCGGATCATCGTTCATAGCTCGCCGAGGTCGAAAGCAAACAGTAATGGTACATTAATGTACGTGGTCTCCTCACATCGCTGATTCCCAATGTGACAAGACAGCCATCGGTCGTTAAAAGCGGGTAGCAAGCGACGGAGAATGTTCAAGTTGGATGCTGGGCGCAAACTGCCAAACTGATGACCTTTCAAAGTGAGCTCACGCGGCCCGCCCGTTGCAAGCGAGTGCCGGTCGCGGGGATCTTGGCTGGCTTGACATTGAAGGGTTAGGGTTAGTGGGTGTTAGAACCTGACAATCTGATGATTTAGGATACGCTGCAAACATACTACCGACAATGCTTTGAGAGCTACAAGTTGTCGAGAGTATCAATGTAGAGTTGTAGTGTATTCCAAATATCGTCAAAGGGACCAAATCTATAGGCGCCGCTGAGCGCATACTTGAACCCTGCATTTCGTGGAGAGCAAAGCAATGATGTCATAGCTTCTCCAAAACCATCCCAACTTGTATGTACTCGGTGAAAGGGGAGAGAAAATAAGCAGACGGAGAAATAAGAATATTCTGACATGCTCTTGAAAGAGCTTTTCGTCTTCTTTCTGAGCATCCAAAACTACAGTAGGTATCGTGCCAAGGGTGACTCAACCTGTCTGGTTCCGGATAGCTTCAGTCAAAGGATGTCCCCTCAATTGTCGGGGACTAGCCCCAAGTAGTGTTTTCTCGACGGGCGCCAAGAGGTGCATCCAATGCTTGTTATAGTGCCATGGGTCTCTTGACTTTTGTTTTCTCGCTGTTGTCAATTGATAGTTGATAATAGAAGCCCGTCTCAAAGGTCAAGAAGGTTGAACTCAAAGTGTAAGTGGGCATTGGCCAATCAGATATTACCCCGCTATTTGTTGAGTCTGGACTTCAACGTTGCACATTCTGACTCGCGAAGAAAATTCACCGCTCAAATTCCCCTCGATTGGGTTGAAAACAGCATTGTTGGACAGATTCAGAACGGAGCCATACATGATGATGCCTGTCTATCCAGTATTGTGTCAGCGGCTCCCAGCACGGACCCTCGTCAAAGTAATATAGCTACATTAACCTCGACATGGTGAGATATGCCACCATCGAGATCTGCCTCGTCCGCATACATATTTGAAAAATCAGTGTGATCACGAACCATTGACGTCCTGTCCGGCGTCGGAATAATCGCTTTTTCCCACGAGGGAATATCAAATTTTTTCCAACCATCACCACCATCTTCTGCCGGGAACCCAAGTGACTGGCACTCCCCGGTAACGGCGTCAAACCCCAGTCTGAACAGCTGCGAGTCACCGTTCTTATCGCTTATCGCTCCCCCACCCGGGCCGATCTTTTTCTTTTTGCCCTGGGCAATCGAGATCCCACAGCGTGGCTGTTGAATTCCCATCTTTCTCGTGAACTTCCACATCCCCACTACAAAAATACGACCAGGCGACTGCAGCGCTGCCAATTGGCGAGACGACGACGGACGAAGTGTTGCTGCCGAACCTCCAAACTGACCCAACGAGAACCCCCCGCGCCCGTTATCGCCAAAGCCTAACCCTAGCTCTCAAGGCTCGCGATAATCCCCTAATATGTTGTCGACCGTGTACAAGGCGGGTCGTGCCCCTGCCCTCCTCCGACATGGTCGACGGGTCGCCGTCGCACCACAAACCGCCCAATTGAGGCCCCTCACCTCGGGCGTCCAGAGCCTCCCCGTCCGTCAACCAACCGAGTCGCCAATTGCTCGTCTCCAGAAGCGCTTCCTCTCAGTGTCTGCCGCCAGACCTGGTAACGCTGCCCAGTCCGCCCCTAACCCCTATGCCTACCTCGACAGTGGCGTAATAAAGCCAAAGGAGTTTGTCGATGTGAAGAAGGTGCTTGTTATCGGATCCGGTGGTCTTGCCATTGGCCAGGCCGGCGAGTTTGACTACTCCGGTACGTCTTGAGGTGACACTTTGTGTGGTGAACAATGAGTCACACGACTACTTCACAACGAGTCCCAGCGCTGACCATACGCGCCCTTTCACAGGATCCCAGGCGCTCAAGGCCTTAAAGGAAGCCGGCGTTTCTTCCGTTCTTATGAACCCCAATATCGCTACCATTCAAACCAACCACTCGCTCGCCGACGAGGTGTACTACCTGCCCATCACCCCCGAGTATGTCGAGTATGTGATCCAGAAGGAAAGGCCAGATGGTATCTTCCTCTCTTTCGGTGGTCAGACCGCCCTGAACCTTGGTGTCCAGATGGAGAAGTTGGGCATGTTCGAGAAGTACGGCGTCAGAGTGTTGGGCACCAGCGTCAGGACGTTGGAGCTCTCTGAGGACAGAGATCTGTTCGCCAAGGCTCTGGAGGAGATCAACATCCCCATTGCCAAGTCTATTGCCGTCAACACCCTGGACGATGCTCTAGAGGCTGCCCGCAACATTGGGTACCCAATTATTGTCCGCGCTGCTTATGCGCTTGGTGGTCTTGGTTCTGGTTTCGCCAACAACGAGGAGGAGCTGCGCAACATGGCTGCCCGGTCTCTGACTCTCTCCCCCCAAATCTTGGTTGAGAAGTCTCTCAAGGGCTGGAAGGAAGTTGAATATGAGGTCGTGCGTGATGCGAACAACAACTGCATCACTGTGTGCAACATGGAGAACTTTGACCCCTTGGGTATCCACACTGGTGACTCGATTGTCGTTGCGCCCAGTCAGACCCTGAGCGATGAGGAGTACCACATGCTTCGTTCCGCTGCCATCAAGATTGTCCGTCACTTGGGCGTCGTTGGTGAGTGCAACGTCCAGTATGCGCTCCAGCCTGATGGGTTGGACTACAGAGTCATCGAGGTCAATGCTCGTCTCTCTCGTTCGTCCGCCCTGGCTTCCAAGGCCACCGGTTACCCATTGGCGTACACTGCTGCCAAGATTGGTCTTGGACACACTCTTCCTGAGCTTCCCAATGCCGTCACCAAGACCACTACTGCCAATTTCGAGCCCTCGCTCGATTACATTGTCACCAAGATTCCCCGCTGGGATTTGTCCAAGTTCCAGCACGTCAAGCGTGACATTGGTAGCGCCATGAAGTCTGTTGGTGAGGTTATGGCCATTGGTCGTACCTTTGAGGAGTCTTTCCAGAAGGCCATCAGACAGGTTGACCCCAACTTTGTCGGCTTCCAGGGTGCCAAGTTTGAGGATCTCGAATTTGAGCTCCAGAACCCAACTGACCGCCGCTGGTTGGCTGTCGGCCAGGCCATGCTCCACGAGAACTACACTGTTGACCGTGTCCACGAGCTGACCAAGATCGACAAGTGGTTTTTGCACAAGCTCCAGAACATTGTTGACTGCACCAAGGAGCTCCAGCAGATTGGCAGCCTCCAAGGCCTCAAGAAGGAGAACGTGCTCAAGGCCAAGAAGATGGGTTTCTCTGACAAGCAGATTGCCCATGCTGTCAACAGCACTGAGGACGAGGTTCGCGCCCGCAGATTGGAGTTTGGCATCCGCCCCTGGGTCAAGAAGATCGATACCCTCGCTGCCGAGTTCCCTGCCGATACCAACTACCTGTACACCACCTACAACGCCTCGACCCACGATATCAACTTCGAGGACAAGGGTACCGTCATTCTCGGCAGCGGTGTCTACCGCATTGGTAGCTCCGTCGAGTTCGATTGGTGCGCTGTCAGCGCCACTCGTGCCCTGAAGGCCATGGATGAGAAGACGGTCATGATTAACGTAAGTGTTTTACCCTCCCCCAATATTCCCATCAGATCTTTCCCAAGCGGGCACCGAGTTGCAGCTATCTTCGAGCTGCCTCTCAAAGTTGTGATTTGCTTCAAGTCAGTTCTCAGTGTTTTGCTTTTTTGTCCCAGCTGTTTTCGTCCCAGCTTTTGCTTCACCAAGTCGACTTCAACAACCATTTTGCTTCCCCCCCTCCGAGCTCTAGATTTCAACCCTTGTTTTCGAGTTGATACCGTCTGCAATGACATTCCTCATATTACATGAGTTGGCCCTTGAGCGTCACCATGTGACATGAGCCGGCTCTGAGCTTCATCATGTTACATGAACCTGGCACTGAGCCTACTTATGTCTACATTGAGCTCCCTGAGCCACCGTCAGATTGCAAGCAGATTCTGGTACAGCTCTGGTCTAAGCATGTTGCAGAGATTTTCTGGCAAATTTCGTTCGATCACATTGAACAGTTTCTCCAGATCTCATCTGATCACGTTGATTCTGTGGCGTTTTCGTCTGATCGCGTTACTATCAGCCCTCTTTGTCCAGTCTTGTTGCCGAGTTTTGGTGTACTTGTCTGCGATCAGGGTTGTTATGTAGCTTGTCATCATGGCGTATTTGTTCTAGGTGTTCTAGGAGTTGATATCTAGTGGTAGTCAAACCTCCAGTCTGGCCCTAGTAGTCTACTCTGGCTTTCAACACCTTCCCTGCGTGCCCGGGCCTGGTTGTGCAGGACAGTATCGCGTACTTGTGCCTGTCCGATTTCTTGCTCGTGCCTGGTCTTGCCTGATCTTTCACGACAACAGCGCGCCCTCGAGGTCGCAGCCGCCCGTGGTCGCCTCAGGATATTGAGACCAGCAGCATTTGTCAACCCGGCTCCTGAGATGTGTCTTGAATGGCGGCAAGATCTAGTTCATATATGTTGATCACTTCAAAGCGTCGACGCCATGTGCCTCTATACTATGACAAGTGTCAACGATCTCTGCCTTGACAGTTGCCTCAGGATAGTTATCTAAGGTTTATATGGAGCCATTGTATGTGGTATGTGGGAGGTGGGGGAGTTGAAGGGGAAGGAAGTGGTCCTTAGGGTGTTCTTACAGAATTTTTCCCTGGGAACTTCTGCGAAGTCACCTCTCCTCTTTCCTTTCGAGACGATCTCGCTTCTGAAGTATTCCCGTTCAACACCTCTCTCTCTACTGAACCGCTACATCATCTATTGTTATCCTTACACCCACATCATTATTCCCAAATTTTGAGCCATTCCCCCTACATTTTCGGACCAGGCACCGAATAGCCCGCCTCCGCCGTCACATACCCCCCCATCAGCGGCCATTCCTCGACATTGTCATCAGCATACCTCACATCAACGCACCTGAGTATCACTCGTTTGCAGATAGTCTGGTGTTTAGCGGCTTGCCAGCAACATTTTCGAGAGAGTTCAAACCCTCGAGTCAATCCCACCATCCCATCCTTTCGATCGTTTATCCCAGCTTTTAGCTATTTATCCCATCTTTCTCAACTCGTTCCGCCAAGTGGCCCAGATCGTGCCAACCAGCTGTCCGAGCTTCGGCCTCCTCGTCACTCCTCATACCGGTGTCCACTCCCTGTTCCTCGGCTACGTCAGTTGTCCAGCATGGTCGCATTCGAAATGCCAGAGACACTGCCGCACATGATTATCTTGTGTGGATGGTATGCTTTGACCACTATATCTGAAGCTGGGACGAGGTTCCCGTCGTGTGTGCTCATGCTGCTGTCGACCTTAGCAGCGCTTGCTTACCCTCACGGCTTCGTTCGCTCCCGTCTGTTCCCTTCGCCTCCTTGCGCCCATTGCTCGTGCACAAGCGTGCCACACAGTATTACACCTGCATTTGATAATGACATGTGTTTCCATTATGTTTGTACGCATGATCCAAGATGTTTCAAAGCCTATGGTGCATGTTAGCACACCTATTCAGCATATTTGGACACCCAAGTGGGATGTTTAGATGCCTTAACAAGATAGTCATAGACCTTTCTACTATCTTGATAGGCCTATTTGAAATAGTTGGACACGTTTAAACTATTTTAATAGGCCTCCGAGTGATAGTTGGACGTGTTTGAACTATCTCGGGATGTCTTTACACAATGTTTTAACGCCTGAGGGGGATGTTTGGACACATTAGCACAATATTTAAACGCATGGGCAAGTGCTTGATACACCTTGGTGCTGCAGTGTGATGCATCCACTTCGCTTCCCTACACCTGGCTGTGATATCGTCAATCATACAGCGTGTCTTTCACATTCATTCGGATTGCACTTTTGAACATTTTTCTGGTGCACAATTCTGCGAAGTTTGCAGCTTGTCCCAACATTGTCCATGCCCCTTTTTGATGGACCCATTTTTCAGGACCCCACTTTTCCCCTGATGAAGCAAATCGTCCCCCTTTACCACCACACTTTGTTTACAACGTTTCTACCCATCTACACACACTATTATGAGGTCTATGATACTAAAAGTGGGTCTAGTATAATCCCGAGACCACGTCGACCGATTTTGACGAAGCCGGTAAGTTGATTTCCTTGACGAGGACGCGATTTGAGACTGACGAGATGGAAAACAGACCGCCTTTATTTCGAAGAGTTGAGCTATGAGCGTGTGATGGATATCTACGAGCTCGAGAACGCCAGCGGTGTGGTGGTGTCTGTCGGTGGCCAGCTTCCCCAGAACATTGCCCTTCGTCTCCAGGAGACTGGCAAGGCCAACGTTCTCGGAACCGACCCCCGTGACATCGACAAGGCTGAGGACAGACAGAAGTTCTCCGAGATCCTCGACTCCATCGGAGTTGACCAGCCCGCCTGGAAGGAGTTGACCTCCGTCGAGGCTGCCGAGAAGTTTGCCCAGGAGGTCGGCTACCCTGTCCTTGTTCGTCCCAGTTACGTCCTTTCTGGTGCTGCTATGACTGTCATTCGCAGCCAGGAGGACCTCAAGGACAAGCTTGAGGCTGCTTCCAACGTCTCCCCTGACCACCCCGTCGTCATCAGCAAGTTCATCGAGGGTGCTCAGGAGATTGATGTTGATGGTGTTGCCTCCAAGGGTGAGCTGATCATCCACGCCGTCAGTGAGCACGTCGAGCAGGCTGGTGTCCACTCTGGTGATGCCACCCTCGTCCTCCCTCCTGCCAACTTGGACCAGGACACCATGGACCGTGTCAAGGAGATTGCGCAGAAGGTCGCCAAGGCCTGGAACATCACCGGTCCCTTCAACATGCAGATCATTCGCGCTGAGGATCCCGAGGGAGGTGTGCCCGCCCTCAAGGTCATCGAGTGCAACCTCCGTGCCTCTCGTTCTTTCCCCTTCGTCAGCAAGGTCCTCGGCACCAACTTCATTGACGTTGCCACCAAGGCCCTTGTCGGCAAGGACGTTCCCCAGCCCACCGACCTCATGGCTGTCAAGCGTGACTACTTGGCCACCAAGGTTCCCCAGTTCTCCTGGACCCGTCTCGCTGGCGCCGACCCCTTCCTTGGCGTCGAGATGGCTTCCACCGGTGAGATGGCTTGCTTCGGCAAGAACCTCGTTGAGGCCTACTGGGCTTCTCTCCAGTCCGCCATGAACTTCCGCGTCCCTGAGCCTGGTGAGGGTATCCTCTTTGGTGGTGAGCTGAGCAAGAACTGGCTTGCCACCGTTGTGGACTACCTTGCTCCTCTTGGCTACAAGCTTTATGCTGCCGATGCCGAGGTCAAGGAGTACCTCGAGACCAAGTCCAAGCCCAAGATCAACGTTGAGGTCATCGAGTTCCCCAAGGAGGACAAGCGCGCCCTCCGTGAGGTGTTCAAGAAGTACGACATTCGCGGTGTCTTCAACCTTGCCCAGGCCCGTGGCAAGACTGTCATGGATGTCGACTACGTCATGCGCCGCAACGCCGTCGACTTTGGCGTGCCATTGTTCATGGAGCCTCAGGTTAGTTTCTCCCTTTGCCTTGCTAGATTGATCAACATGCTAAGACTTTCTACCAGACCGCTATGCTCTTCGCCCAGTGCATGAGCGAGAAGCTGCCCAGGCCCGAGGGTATCCCCTCTGAGGTCCGCAGGTGGTCCGACTTCATTGGTGGCAAGCCTTTGTGAATAGCGCAAGGCTCTGGTTTCCAATGTTTCTTTCTTGCTTAATGTGTTCCTATACTTTTTCTATTTGAGGGCATGGGAGGAGGACTCCAAAAAGCAGGGTGGGTGTGTGGTGTGAGGAGAAAAATATGAGCGGCGTTTGAACATTTGATGGAAGGGTTTTCGATGTCTGTATTCATTTTCACAGCGGCGGTGACATGGTTGGCAGGGAAATTTCTAGTCGGTTACTTGATATGATATGGTCTTTAAAAGTGAACATCTTATTTTTCTTTTGTTTGTGATTGCTGTGATGTTTGATGGTATGATGGTGGGTGGTTTTACAGAATGAACTATGGAATGGACTTTGAAGAGGCCTGATGGTACATTTCCAGCAATGATATTGTGTATGTAACCTTTATAAGCCAATGTGATTTCTCTCACATAGGAGAACATGTTTATGGGGGGTTTTGCTTTCAAAAGTGACATGCCGTTGCTTTTCAGGGTTAGGGTCTTTCTTGCGCCAGCAACCCTCTATCTAGCGCACGGGCTCATCTCATTCATTGCTCTTACACTCATTCCTCGTTTCATTAAAAACTCTCCTTCAACATCAAACAACGAGCACTGGCCACGACTCAAAACATTAGCGACATCAGCCTTGTCAAACAACCTCACATACTATCCCTCAGCAGTCTACCCACCATACCAACCCCAAACCCTCAAAATGAGCACCACCAACAACAACAACCACCCCCAAGAGGAAGAAGAAGAAGACGACTACATGTCCCCCCTCTTCCTCGCGCCCCCCACAACGACCTCCTCCGCCCTCCCAATAAAAGAATCCTCCCTCCAACGCCGCGCCCGTCTCAAGCGCGAGGCCGAGGCCCGTTCCCGCCCCAAATCAAAAGCTGAACTCGCCCAGGAAGCCGAGTTGCAACGCGAAAAAGCGCATTCTACCTCTTTGCTGGCGTCAAAACCCCAGTCGAAAGGCCTGGCGATGATGGCGAAGATGGGGTTCAGACCTGGGTCTACACTGGGGTCGAGCAGTTCTGGGTCGGCGGAGCCGATCAGGGTTTCGATCAAGGAGGGGAAGGAGGGGATTGGGCTGGAGAGTGAGAGGAAACGGAAGCTGAAGGAGTTGGTGGAGAACATGGAGAAGACGGAGAAGAAGATTAAGGTCGGGGAGGTGGATTACAGGGAGCGGATGAGGCAGGAGAGGGAGGAGCAGAGGTTGGAGGGGCAGGTTAGGGGTGCTCAAAAGGTGGCGGAGGGGTTGGATTCGGAGAGGGCTAAGGAAAGGGGGGAGGAGATGGGGAAGAGGAGGTTGAAAGGGATACCGGTTGTTTGGAGGGGGTTGGTCAAGGTTAGGGAGGAGAGCGAGAGGGATAGGAGAATGAGGAGGGATTTGGAGGAGCATGCTATGTCACGGTTGCCGACGTATGATGATGGGGATGAGGATGCGGACGATAGGAAGGCGTTGGGGAAGAAGAAGGTGGTGTATGAGGTGGCGGAGGATTTGGATGAGGAGGATGAGGAGTTGGATGAGTTTAATGGGTTGACGGGGGAGGAAAAGTTGAGGAGGTTGGTGGAGTATTTGAGAAAAGAGCATCATTATTGCTTTTGGTGCAAGTTCAAGTACGAGGATGAGAGGATGGAGGGGTGTCCGGGGTTGACAGAGGAGGAGCATGATTGAGGTGATTGTCACAGCCTAGAGAGAGTTGAGATACTGCATGATGAACAACTCTTCATTGCTCTCCGTTTCGCTGCCTTCAACACGCTACCCAATCGCTCAATACATCTCCAAAATCTCGCCAATCACATTCCGGTAGATACCATTCGGATCAAACTTTGCCTCACAGCTTTGAACCGGGCCAGATACTAATAAACGTATTACGTTAGTCAACCACTGTGCCTCTTGTCGAGGAAATTGACTTACGTTTGGGTCCAGATGCTTCTTCGACCTCGCAAAAACCTCCCTCGTATTCTTGGTCCAATGAGGTCTGCAGGGGAACTCGTCGATCAGAGCATTGGCAACCTTGCGATCTGTTTTCTCTCAGGTTAGCCCCCCTTGTGAAGAAAAGAGAGACAAAAAGGAGCGGCACGCACAAAACGGCTCGTTAAACCTCTTCTCATCGCCAACACTCGGTCGGTACGAGGGAAAGTCAAACATGATCGTCCCCTTTGACCAATCCACCCCGTCAGAAGTGTTGTATGTCTGCTGCCCAAGAAAGTCAAAATAGTGCCGACCGACTGTTTACCCATTGTCAGCGCATTCTCGCCTTTTCATACACACTCAGGAAAGACATACACTTGATATTAATCCCGCTCCTATACGTACTCGTCATGATAATCCCCCTCTTCAACTCCTCATCAAATAGCCCTCTCGCTCTCTTCAACACCGCATTCGCCATCGTTACCGGGAAGGCCAGCTCAAGGGTGTAAGCCCTCAGCCCATAGTCCCACTGAGCCTTTTGGTCTGGGTAGAGACCACCGATCAATACATCATAGTTCCAACCATAAACCGGCCACTTGTCAATAGCTTTGTTCGTCGTCTTCTCCCTAAAGTTTGGCTTCTCCCACTGCCCAAAAAAGATCTCCTCCATGAGCATGTTGGATGTGGGCAAGTACTTCCCGCTGTTGAGCAGATTCTTGGCAGCAAACGCCTCAAGGTCGGTCACAGAAAAGGTGTTTTGGAAGCCTTGCTGCTCGGTGAAGTTGGCGGGGACAACATCGTAATATCGCTGGTGAAACTTTCTCTTGTAGGGCCACCACCAGAGATTCGCTGTTGCGTACGGGGCAATCATGCCGTAGATGTCGCCCTCGAGAACTTCCTTTTCGTCGAAACTGTCCTGGCTGTCAGTCTGTCGGCCGGCGGTTGATGGGGTCAAGTATACTCACGTGTTCTGCTTGGCATAAACCTTGCTGTCAGGATAGATCTTGAGTTTTATCCTCGCAATAATTCCCAACAATCCCAGACTGGTCGAAGCAGCCAACCAGTCATCATCACTTTCATTCCTTTCTACTTTTCTGATCTCCCCCTTTCCATCAATGATATCCATGGCCAACACACCCGCCGCCACCATCGAGTCTTCTCTAATCGAGCTTCTGTGAGCCCCCATCGCCACACTCCCGCCGAAACTGATGTTCCAGTTTGTGAGGGTGTACCCAACACTGGCACCCCTATCATGGAGATACTCGGCCAGCTGGAAGAAAGTAACTCCAGCGTCAACAAGTACGGACCCATGGGGGGCCCCCTCGGGAAGGCTGAAGTCGTAGATGCCGGCCACATTGGCAGTTTGGATGATGATGGTCGAGTCGTCGCTGCATTGGGTATCGTACCACATGTGGCCCTTTCCTGCGGCGCGGACCAAGGACTTGGACTGGATGGCTGACTTGACGACGGATTGCATATTCTCGACGGAGGTGGCGTCGTGGACCCGGGAGACATTGTGGCAGGCTGGGGAGCCTGGGCCGTCAAAGGTGTTCCATACCAAGGCTGATGCGGTGCCCGAGCAGAGGAGAAGGCTGCTCAGGCCCACACCAAGGCCTGTGGGAGTCATCGTTGCCGGGAAAGAAGGGATCTGAAACCCAGGACGGTAAACAAGCAATCACCTAGAGATCTGATAAGAAATCTAGGTTTCAGCCTGGTGGAGCTTTTTCCCCGGATTT